CAGAACGTGGGGCTTGGAAAGGTACCCTGTCCGGCGCTTGTTCTACAAATTTTGGGGGGGCGGCTGAAGGGGGACTGATTTGAGAGTGAGGAGAATTGAGGGAGGCTGGGTGAGAGAAAGAACCAGACAGGGCAAAGGACCCCTCACCCGACACAAGTGAGCCTGGCCCCCGTGGCTGACCCGGACGCTGGCAAATGTTCGAGGCCACGCAAATGGAAAGACACCGCTGTCCTCAGCCCGAAGTCCTGTAATCTGCAGGACACCCTTGGGCAGCAATGTGTACCTGTTGGGGAGGGGGACACAGCTGACCGCCAGCACAGCCCCTGGCCCCGCCGGCCACAGGGACCCTGAGCATCACAGACGCAGCCCGGCGCCCAGGGGCTGCCCCAAGGTCACCGTCATCGTCACAGACTCACACAGGCCGATGCACCTGCAATTCCAGTCCTGACCACCATCGCACACAGTCCGTCTCATGGATACATCCGCGAGCACCCAGTCTGGGCCCGCAAGCCACGGGGATACTCAGTCTCAACGCAGTTGCTGAAACCCACCCCTGGAGCAGGTGGGCAGGCCGGGCCCACCTGTCTGTCCTCCCTCCCGCACTCCCCACGCGAGGCTCACCTCTCGTTGTCCGTATCGATGGGGACTCTGTTCTTCTCCCACATGATCAGGGGTTTGGGAAGCCCGTGGATTTGGCACTGGAAGCGGGCCACGCCGCCCTCCTCGCCTGCGACGGCCTGGGGGTGCACGTGGAAGTCCGACATGGCTGGTGAGAGAAAGGGAGCGTGTGTGGGAGAGGCACGCTGCTGGGGAGCAGAGGGAAGGAGGGGAGCGGTCACAGGCCCGTGTCCTGGAACCCTGAGCTCACCCCACCCAGGGGCAGGGGTGCTCCTGGAACTGGCAGACACAGGGCATCCGCACCTCGGGGACACATCCGCACTTACCCTGCCTCCCACCGTGGGAAACACCTTCCCTAAAGGGGCCATACAGGCCGGGCTGGCACACTTCGAGAAAGGTCTGGACAAATTTTTGGATGACAAACCTCTCACCAGGAAGTCTTGGGCTGCTGACCCTCAGAGCCCTGCTCCTGTCCTGCTGCCTACGTTTCCCTTGCTTTCTGATTTAGTTTTATACCCCCACCCCCCTTAGCAAGGTCTAAATGTTGTGCTGCATGTTTTACAGAACAGGAAACTGAGGCCCAGAGAAGGGAAGCAGGCAGTTCAGTGTTGCCCAGCAGGGCCACCTGTCATTAAACCCTGGTTACAGACACCAGCGGCATTCTTTGCCCTTCCTTATCACCCCGTCCCTGTTCTGTAGCTTCTAGATGTACCTACCCCAAGGGGGTGGTATATCCATCCAAGGTGACAAGCCTCTCAGAAGACTGTCAGACCTACCAATCTACATTTCAATGCGTCATACATATTCAGGGACCCCTTCCCCACCTTTTGAGAATCTGAACTAACTGCTTGAACCCTGGTCTGCAGTGGCTGGTAAAGCGGGGGCTGTGGCATACCCCCACCCCACTTTCGGCTGGTTAAGTGTTCCCACCCACCCTCATTCCCATCCAGCCCCAAACTTCACCCTATAAAGCCCAGAAAACGGGCCCCTCCCTCTCGGGTTCCCAGCTTCAGCACCAGGGCTGTGATTTCATTAAAATCCACTTTGCTTCAAGTGCGGGAAGGCAGCTCACCATCTGTCCAGGCAGGCAGCACCTCCCCTCCGGCACTCCATCAACTGGGACAGCCGTCCCCTCCCAGAAGGACCCCTCCCCCCACAGCAGCAGGGGTGCTGGAGCTGGTCCTGGCTCCCGGGTGTGGGTGGGCACACCCTGTCTCCGGCCCCCTCCACCACAGGCCTGTTCTGGACTCCAAGGCAGCCCAGAAGGGCGTAGCCTTTGTGCCCTTCTTCCCAGAGCCTCTGGGGGCTGATTCTTTTGTGGCGTGTTCTCCATCTCATTTGCATGTGGTTCATTAAATATAAACATGCATAAAAATCCCCTGCCCTGCCTCCTCCTTTTCCAGGGCCTCCAGAGAACACGGCTGATGGGTGTGAGTGCCTCCTCCCCACACATGTGTGCAGATCTATGTTTGCCAGGAGGGTGTGGCTACCCCCGCCGTGTACGTGGACCGAGTGTCCACAGCTGGATGTGAATGGCGGTTTGTAGCCCTTGGCTCCCGTGGCCAGTGTGTGATTCTGGTAATCAATCACATGTGTCCCCTTGAAGGTAAAGCCCATACAAACAGCACCTTGGGGGCCCTCAGAGCAGGAGGTGGGGGCAAGTGCCCCAGCTGGTGTCCCCATCAGGCTTTCGAGAGAATTCCCTAGGGAGCACCCAGAGGTCAGCCTGCCCTGTCTCAGGCCAAAGGCTGTGCTTGGCCAAGGGCCTGCAGGTCAGCCCAGGGGCTGGGGGGTGTGGGGGAGGAGAGGGGAGAGGGGAGAGAAGGGGGCAAGGCACTGCTGGGGCCCCTCTGCTGCCTCCAGGCTTCTCTGCCTCTCAACCTCCATCCAGGAAGGCATGGCTAGAAACAGGCCTGGAGAGTGGAGAGGGCCCCCAGGTGCCTGGGTCTGGGGCCTCTGCCCCTGAGCCCTGCTCATTCGGGAGCTGGGGAGCTGCCTGCCCCCACTTCACTCCAGCTGGAGAGGAGCTCACAGACCCCCAGGGTCCAGGGGCGGAGACTAATGGCTCTGCTGACTACAGATGCCTCCTCATTAAGGAACTGAATCCTTTTGTGTTTCTAGCCCTGATTCTGGGCTCCCTGGAGGTGCCTAGAGCTAGGAACTGGCCTGAGGAGAGATACAAAGGGTAGGGCTGCTTCTTTATCAGGGCGCTGGGGATGGAGAAAGTCTAGCCTCTACCTTCTAGCCCCTCCTTCTCCCCCAAAACTAAACAATGACAGTAGCATGGGCTGAAGGTGATGCTGGAGAGGACACAGGGCCGTTGGTAGGCACGGAGCCCGTGCTCCTCTTCACGCAGGTACAGTGGGACTCCCAAGGGTCCCCTTGGGCGCAGCTGCGCCCCCTCCCCACTCAGAGCCCCACCCTTTCCTTCCATCAGACAGCAGCACCTTGCTGTGCCTCTCTATCCGCTTTACTCAATTGCAGTTCTGCCAAACATTTCATTTGAAGGGTAGCTTTCCTTGAATGCTTCGGCTCAGTGGATAGAGCATCGGCCTGTGGACTGGAGGGTCCCGGGTTCAATTCCGGCCAGAGGGCACGTACCTCGGTTGCAGGGTCAACCTGGCCCTGGTTGGGGCTTGTGTGGGAGGCAACCCATTGATGTCTCTCTCTCTCTCTCACATCGATGTTTCTCTCTGTTCTCCTCTCCCTTCCACTCTCTCTAAAAAATCCATGGAAAAGTATCTTCAGGTGAGGATTAACAACAGTAAAGTCAACCCCTTCATTTTACGAAGGGGAAACTGAGGCCCAGACCCAGTTGGTGCCTCTGCCAGACCAGAATCAGAATCAGCATCAGAAGGGCCAGGCCTTGGGCCTTTACTTCTCCAGCTAGTTTTTCACTCTCTAAGAGCAGGTAACTCCAGAGCGGACTGCAGGTTGGACCAGCCTCCTCTCACTGGCTGGGAGTTGGCACCGTGTTGCAAGGTGCAGGGAGGATTAAGAGCCCCAGAGATGGCCCCTCGGTCCCTTCCCTTAGAGCCCAGCTGGCTACACAGATGTGGGTGCAATGGCAGGTGTGGGCCTCTATATCCCCTTCCTCATCCCCTCCCCAATCCCTTGATCAGCCCTGCATATCCCTTGGGTGTCCAGGGATTGCAGTAAGGCATGGGCAGGCCATGTCAGAGTGCCAGTCCTCTCCTCTGCAGATGAAGAGGTGAACAGGCACCCAGTAGGGCCCTTCCAGCTCTGACTCCTGCCGCCGTCATAAACAGGCCTCGGGAGCCCTGGTCGGCGTGGCTCAATTGGTTGGGCATCACCCTGTGCACTGAAAGGTTGCTGGTTCAATTCCCAGTCAGGGCACATGTCAGGGTTTCAGACTAGATCCCTGGTAGGGGGCATGTAGGAGGCAGCTGATCGATATTTCTCTTTCGCTCTCCCTCTTCCTTCCTGTCTCTCTAAAAATCAATATAAAAAATATCTTAACAAATAAATAAATAAACAAACAAACAAGCAGTCCTTGGTCTATACTCCTGGAATCTTCTACTCACTCCTAATTCAGAGGTAACAGCATTTTTATCTTTAGGAAGTAAGGGAAGAGAGTTTCTTGGGGCCATTTAGGCCTTCTTCAGTCTCTCGGAGAGGGATATGTTTGGTCTACAAATCCGCCCCCCCCAACCCCACCCCCGGCTTGTAGCAGCAGGACAGAACCGGGGGAAGCTGTGCCTCGTGCCTCTCAGGGGAGAGGGTCCTTGGGCGAGCATGGGTATGTGAGGCTAAGGGTCAGGCCTCTGAGCACCCTGAGCCCTGGACAAGTCACCCTGAAGGCCACGGTGCAGTACACACAGGTTACAGACACTATTTGTGGCGGCGTTGGTGATATTGTGTTTGTGGCTGGTGGACATGAAGGTGGTACTGTGGCTTGTGGCTGTTGATGTGTTCTCCTCCTGCTGACATCTCAGTCAGGGAGGCATAGTCTTCGGTCCCTCACTCAAGCTGGGTGATGAGAGGAAGCAGTGCGCAGTGGCTGGGAGGCCCTTCCAGTGTGAGGGCCAGAGAGAGCGAAGGGGTAAGCAAAGGCCTGCCCGGGAGCAGGTGTGGAGAAAGGAAGAAGAAACACCTTTGTCCCCATGCAGTCCGGGAAGGAATCTCCTAGCCCCTCTCTACCCTGACCTTGGGTACAGCCAGGCCACTGGGAAAGCAAGGGCAGAGAGTGAGCCCTGCAATCCACCGAGCTGGACGAGAGCAGAAACAGGCAGGAAACGACTCCTGGACACCTCTATAAATCACCCCAAGGGGAGGGGTCTCCTGAGAGCCAGATCGGGAGCAGCTCAGAGAGGGGAGGGGAGGCTTTCCTCCTGGTCCAGGACCTCTGGAGAGGTCAGGCCTGGATCTGATTAGACAGGCTCCAGGGGGACGCTGGGGGGCAGCGAAGGGTCGAGGCAGAGTGCTGGGAAGGAAGCTGGCAGCTCCCCCAAGTCCAACTTCCCACCCTTTGGCTACAGCCGGGCTCTTATCCGGTGTGTGATGACAAAAAGATCAATGGGCATGCTGGGATGGAGAGTTCAAAACAGCTTTTACAAAAGCCGATGCCACTGGGGGTCTGAGGCACAGACGGCCTCCACTCATACGGTCATTCAAGAGGAGCAACCGGACTACAGACTCTTCCAAAGGCCATCGAGGCCAACCCCCTCCTTGTATTTATCCCTGCCAAGAACCAGGGATGCGGAGCCTCCTGGATGCCCAGCCCCTGCTCAGGCAGCTTGGGTGACCGTAACATTTCTTCTTATACTAGGAACATGCCCGAATCCCAGATGTTTCTTCCCACTGCCCCCAACTTTCCCCTCTAGAATCACTTTTCTAATATAGTAGCCAGCTATTAAGCACTGTGGCCTTAAGAAATGTGGCCAGTCCAAACTGAGATGGCTCTAAGTGTAAAATACACACTGGATTTCTTAGTATAAAATAAGACTTAGTATAAAATAAAATGACATTAAGCTTTAGGGAAAAGCAAATCAAAACCATAATGAGATGCCACCTCACTCTCATTAGGATGGCTACTGTCAAAAACCAAAACCCAAACAAAACAAAACCCACCACAAACAACAACAGAAGATAAGTGTTGGCACGCCTGTGGAAAAACTGGAACCCTTG